TACATTGGTAGTAACTTTGTTAAACGTATTAGACTTGATTTGAACTATTCGAGTTCTTAAATTTGAAATTGTATTTTTTTACTTTAAGCGAAATTTTATCACATGAAATGAATGAAATGTCTTAAAAGATTTATCAATAAAATACCCAAAAGGTAATTTCTATGTTACATTTTGTGTAACATAGAAATTACGTTTTGGAACTTAGGAGCTTATTTAAAATTTCTGACTTAATGATTTAAATTCATTTTGCACATTTATGATACCCAGCTTTACATAGTTTCTTATAAACAACGTTTAGTGATAAACGTAGACAGAATTAACTAGAGGTTGAATATCTACTTAGGAGAGTAACGCCCGGTTTCTGAAACACTGATCATCGTAGAAGTCAACTAATCAGCTGATCAGAATGATCTTAATGATCTGAATGATCAATTCAAAGAGTTTAACAATCCTTTTGGCAACTCAAATAACATTTGAAAATCCATTTGACATCTGATTGGTTGACTTTTACGATGATTAATGTTTCAGAAACCGGGCGTTAGTATCTGGGAAGGTTATTGCCCTTTAATAAATAGTTTTTTTTTAATGAAAAAGGAGGCAAATGAGCAGGCAAGCCACCTAGTGGAAAGTGTTCACGGCTGCCTATGGACACGCGCAATACCAGAGGATTCACAAAAGCGTTGCTAGCCTTTGACGGAGGTATAGGCTCTCTTTTTGAAAACTTCCAAATCGTACGGTCTGGAAATACCGCTGGCGTAATGTTTTAAAACTTCTGTTAAAATTCCAAATTAAAGATCAAATTCAAAGTAGGCGATACATTTATCAGATATCACGATGGATAAGTTAGACGGACATCTACATAAAAAGTAAAGTAACAATAGCCTATAAATGTCCCACTGTTGGACAAAGCTCCCCTGTACAGATGGGTCCACCGCGCGGCCGCACTTTTGGCGAATTTTCGTTTGGGGGACATCGAACATCTTCAAAATATTTTTTTTGCTATTATTTCGAACAGATAGAGGTTTTTCCTCATGATGATTTCCTTCAACGCTAAGCCCGTGATAAGTAAGCACTAAAAATCAATAATTTCATTGGTGCCGGCACCGGGGATCGAGTTGCTCGAATATATGGAATTAAAAGCTAGCGCCCGAACAAGCAGCTATCGCGGCTCCTCATCTACATACATGTAATTTAACCTACGTTTAAATGCGAGTAAATACAACACGTAAACGCAAGCAAATGTGCGGTAACGTATTTTAATGAAGATTTATCTAAACCTTGTGCGCTAAAAAGGAATTATAGTATTTAAATTATTTATATGGCTTAATCAATAATGCATGAAGAGGTATGTCCGACTATTTATATATTCGAGTAAAATTTAAACCTTTAATTGTACATATTAATTATTTTATAATTAAGAGACACTGATTCAAGACACTGAGAAATATTATCATTACAATTTATTTTCTGCTTTTTTCATAGTTACACTGCATAGTTGTTAATTACGATTTCTTTTTAAGTTTGCAAATATTTTGACAAATGTATACGTGGGAGAGCCGGCCATGCGGAATAATCTGCTGTTGTTCGAACGGGATCCAGGGATGTATCGCGGTCTTACGACCAGTGTGAACTGGAAATATTTTTCTCCATAAAACAAAATAGACACATTACGTCTATTTTGTTTTATGGAGTGTGGCCTGTATAGAGGGGTGGCAGGGTCTATAGGTTGGTAATGTCTACAACCCCACAGATAATCTATTGAAATGAAGGAAGCGCCTGCCCGCTTGCCACCTTAATATAAAAACATCATAAGAACTCTTTTATACGATGCAATTTGTTGATGTTACGTTCAACACAAACTATCATCAGATACTGAGTAGTAATTATTTAAAAAATTCTCATACTTCAAGGACTGCTCGACAAAAAATACACATGTCTGTAATGATCCATGCGGCATGCAGCTTTTTCTGTGTCAGTTAATTACCGTACCGTAGAGAGATTTTTTTATGTTGTGATTTTAAGATGGCGATGTTAAGTGATGAACGCCGCCCATGGACATTTGCAACACACGTACAGTTGCAGATGCGTTGTTACTCTTTTAATATAGTGGTCTCTGGTTACCACACTGACCAGACCAAACGCAGAAGTACAAGTAACACTTCTACTTAAGCCGGTCTTCTTGACGTTATGGTACTTCCCCGGACGGACCTACCGATTCTTTCAACAGCGATTTTGTACTTTTTTTTGTGAAAAGTTGTGAGTCAAGCGAGCAGGTGGTTCAGCTGATTTTAAGTGAATACCGCGGCCCATGGATATGTGCTACACCCGGAGGTTTGTAGATGCGTTGATAACCTTTTTGAAAATTGGGCTCAGGCCACCTCACCCACCTGACGAAGCGCGAAAGTATTATATTTTAACTTTACACCGGTCTTCTGGGAGGTCGTGTTACTTACCCGGGCAAGCCTGCTCATTCGTACAACAGCCGAGGCTGCTGCGTGGCCCTACCACAGTTAAATTATGTTGTCAGTACTTTTCTTGTTGTGATCAAGGATTTGGTAAATATTTTGTGAAAATATATTAATAATAAAATATATTCCCAAGAAGAGTTAACGTCAGGCGGCGTCGGTCGTAAAAAAATTGTCAAAACCACTTACAACATCTAGGTAATGGAGGATACGGGCAGGAGGATGATGAATAAAAAACATGAGAAAATTAATGTGCAGTTGTTATATTTAAATTATAAAAAATTGAGTTAGTTTTTGATGTTGATTTCTTTTGCGGCATTTGGAAAAAAATATGAGCGTAAAATTAGCATTGCAACTAACATTTGAAAGTTATTTAATTAAACCATTATTAATTGCATTTAATGACTTTTTCACAAACAAATTGTTTTATTTTATTAATAATATTAATTTTCGTTTGTTTCGCTAAATTTTACTTTTTACATGCGTATATAAGTCCACACATTTTTTTCTAACTCAATCATTAAATCAACATAACTGTTCGGTACGTTACACTTTGTGTTTGGTCTTTTTTATTTCGACACTGTTATGGAAAGTTAAAAAAAGTTGAAAGAAAAGAGTAGGTTTTGCAATGCATTGTTACCACACTATATAAAATACAAAACTTTCTCTGTAACATAGTATTAGGACACAAACATGAGATTATAATCGGTACAAACCCTAAGCCGGCGTTTATACTGAAGGAATATATTCATCTTTTTATATCATAAATTGGGAACGGCCAAGTAAAAGATTATTCTTGCGGTGACAATACTTGTAACATAATCGGCTGGGAGTAGAAATTGTCCGATTTTTCGTTTAATATATACAGAATATTAAAAAAACATCTTTGTTATAAACGATAAAATATGAAGATTCAATTACGTGAAGCATTGTTCTTTAATTGAACGTAAAAATTGGATATTGTTACTTCACTCCGGTACCGTGGACTGCACTTTCAATTTATAAGCACCCAATTAATGTTTCATAAATCGGGCACTCGTTTCGGCACCTACCGTTGCCAATTGCGTTCGTGACCGTACATTTCGAAGTTCTTGCAGCGTGACATCTAAATTGTTTCACGATACGTTACATCGCATATATAGCTTCAACCACCACTGAGGTTTTTAATTTAATTATTCTGAAAACTGAAAGCAAAAAGTCTTCTATAGTTATTGCCGAATTAACACACTTAAATATGTACTGCTGGGCAAAGGCCTCATTCGTACAGAGGGTATTAGGGCATAGTCCACCACTCGACCCCACTGCGAGTTGGCGGACTACACATATCTTCGAAAAAAATTCTTTTTTTTTTATTTAGAAAATATGCAGGTTCCTAAAAAATATGCTTCATGGTCCTGAGCGCGTGATAAGTCAGCACTTAAAACTAACAATTTCATTGGTGCTGGCAACGGGGATCAAACTCAGGTTGCTCGAGTATGTTGAATTAAAAGCGAGCGCCCAGTGAATGAGCTATCAATCAACAATGAAAAGGTATCATCATTAAATGCATGCTTATATAATTATTATTTATTTATTTATTACATTGCATTGCAGACAATATTTTTCATTTAATGTAATAAGTTTTAATTTGACTACTCAACGTAAACAGTGACAGGTTGACCGCTCGGGAATCCTGTCGCATTCCAAATCAAGACTTTGCGATAGGTACCTAGGAATATTTATGTATGTGCGATATTACAATACAATACGTTGTTCAAATATCGATGAATGATTACCGCCGTGGGTTTTGCAATTAAAAATTATAGTCTTCAAGTCGTCATCATTTTATACCATTTCAGTTTTATAACATGTGCCTGATTAAACAACATATATCGTTAAATGCCTTCAACGTGTAGCTATGTATGATGCTCTTAAATATAAATTGTATAATCCATACTAATATTATAAATGCGAAAGTAACTCTGTCTATCTCGCTGTCCAAAACTATTGAACCGATTTAAATGAAATTTGGCACACAGATAGTCTGGAGTCTGAGAAAGGACATATTTTTAATTGTAAAAAAGTGTATGTGTTGTAAAGGGTTGAAAAATATTTATTAAAGGGCTTCAACGCAAGAGAAGCCGCGGGCGAAAATCTAGTTTTATATAAATGTGTTTGTAAAACATTATCGATTACATATTCAATAACTTTTTCCTTTAAGCTGTAGATAGGATTTTGAAACTTAAAAACAAGAGTAAATTTTAGTTTTTATTTACAATTTTTACACGTTGCTTTTTTTTACAAAAATGAAATGCGAAAAGCATTATCCTATTTAATGAATGTTAACCCGATGACTAATACATTTTCATGAAATGTTTACATATGGCAGTGTGGGGTCAAATTGCTAATGGGCGCGGAGTTTCCGAGGAAGTGAAGTTTGTAGTGAAATAGGCGCTCGGATATTTCGTGGAAAATAACCGAGGTGAGGCATAGGAAACTCGGGCATTAACAATGTTGTCTTAGTTGAGAGAGGCTGAGGGTTCGTCGTTACGTTCACCAGCAGTATGGGTAGTTGGGGCATTCGGCCGCGTTGAAATTGGCGGGGTATTTCGCTGCGACGTTGGCGTGTGGGCTGTAAGAAAAATGAGCATTTGAACACAAATCTCTAATTGGACGAGCTGCTATATAAAAACTACTTGGATGAAAAACTATTTTCGATTAATTTTTTTGTCCTTAACATTGCTCCTTCACATAGAGCTCATTCACAAGGTCAACGATTTTCGTTTTTCCAAATTCAAAGTAGATCGTCAATTTATATCCATATATGCTTGTACTTTATTGTTGTTCTTTTAGCAAATTTATAGAATGGTTTAAATGAACCTATTTTACTGATTTTAATTCGGTTTATTTTGTTTTTTGAGTTCTCGACATTTCGAACAGTTTTTCTTTCAGTATATTTTCGAAAGATGTAATTCTCTGCAGTGTTTTTAGTTTCGGCATCAGTAAGTACAAATCAAGGTGAGTCATGCTTTTATTCTCTTTCCTTAAAGTACATTTACGCGTTACGCATTAGAAACATATGACCGAGATACAAAACTAAATACCTAACCAGCTGTCACTTAACATATCACTCAAATTCATCTACCAATTGTAACAGGACCTCACTAAACTGAATTTTTCGTAATAGCATTGAAGACAGTGACGGGGTTTAAAGCGATACTTACTCGGCCGGGGCTACGGGCAGGATGGAGGGGTTGTACACCCACTCGGGGATGGGCATGCCGTCGGGGGTGAAACGGGCGAAGGTGTTGGTGTCGCAGTAGGGGTAGTTGGGGCATACTGCCGGGTGGAGGCCTGCGGGGTACTCGCGTGCCAGCGCTGCCGCCGCGACGACGCAAAGGACGAACTGCAAGAGAAGGCATTTAAAGATTAATTACGTAGTAAATACATCATATCATCGTTCATCAATCACATCGTTATCTAGTCCCAATCAAAGCTTGTACTGTGGGTACCAGGTAGATAAGCATATTTAATCATACTTTTGCAAATAAATGCATAATATATTAAATATCCAGACTCTAGGTAAAGTCTATGTTCGTCACACAATATTTTTACCGTAGTGGGATCGAACCCACACCTTCTGGCGCACGAGACAGTCCTCTATCCAGTACGCCAATCGAGTAAAATAGACGTGAACGAATATATTTTAAGTTGGTATGTATGTAATTGATACTTTACATAATTTCTTTTTAATATTCATCCTCTTATACGGTAAGATTGATAAGTTTGTTCGCGGTTATCGAAAAATCGAAATAATAATATCAAATATCATAAGCATTGAAGACAATCGTTTGGACAGCGCAAACAGAGTCTAATAAAAAGCATTATTGAAAGTTTTCCGACCACCTTTGTAAACCACAATATCGATTTATTAAAAAGGCGAAATAACTAAATTTGGGCGCAATTAAAAACCAAATATCAAAACTAATGGCTTATGTTTATCTAGTAATGTCTATATTTTTACTAAAATTAATGGATGGTTTCAAACTATTGCTTGTCGCTTATTTATTTAATGAACAGAAAGCCACCATGAAATTAGTGTTTATTGATAACAACCAATTAGCGATACGGTGATTGGCAAAGAAGCATCGCAACGAAACAAACAAAAACAACGTCCAATTAAAGTGTACCGCACTAACACAGTTATGCATCACTTCATTTGATCATGTAACTTGACACTTGCGTTGGTAATTGGTCAGGGGTTTAAATTTAGAGTGCTTTCGAAACCAATATTCTCCATGAGCGCATGTTATTCATCATGATAGGTTTCACATTAATTCAGTTTCTGATTATCGATACTGTCTTTTTGACGCCCTACCTCTTTTCAACATATTTGATTTTACAAGAGTTGAAGCGTATATGTTTTAATTCGCGATATTTGTCCAGTGCCGTATTCGAAGACTCAATTGAAAATTTAATTAATTTTTCTGCGAGGAGCAGGTACATTAGAATAATCTCGACATGTTTCTTTATCAAGTAGTACGTGCTATTACAATATTCAATAACGAGTCCTTTACATAAATATTCGTCATTGTATATCAATTTGACAATCCTTCGAAATTTCCTCGTGGGCACATGAACATAGCCCTTGCTCTAGTGGGCGCAAGGCTACGTAGGTGTCCGTTACGAGCGATCGCGTGCGGTATGAATGCGTAATGCGATCCGATACATCTTAATTACATTTGAGCAATAAATAACATACATTTATGCATTGCTTATATGTCGCTTAGTGGAACCCGCATTCCGCAAGCTTAGTTTGAACTAATTATTGCTCTGTTTGTTTATTGTTCGATAAAAACTGTTCGGATACAAGTTGGTATTTCAATAGAATACTTTTCTCAACATAAATTGACGCGACTTGCGTTCAACGACTTTTGAAGTTGGTATTTAAATTTATTTTAAATTGGCGTTTACGTTATGGGTTGTTATTAAATAAACATTTGTTTTTCTTCCGGTAAAACTGTAACCGCACAGAATGAAAACATAGTAAAAATGAAAAATATATTTTACTGAAATAAAATAAATAAAAGTATGTACGCATGTATGTGTACGCGCTTAATAAGTTTTACTTTAGCGTAACAAAAGAAAATTAACTAAACATTGTATCCCCTGTGGATGACTCTTTGTTTGTGAACAAGACATTAAATGCAATTGATAACGGTTTATTTAAATAATTTGGAATTATAGGTAGATTTAAAAAGAGTTTCTATTGGTTGCCATGGTAACTTCACAGAACTTGATCGATTTGCAACCAACTTCACCATGTCGCTTTTTGGTGTCGGTGTGCGCGCGCAAATTTTACTCTAATTTTTTCCAAATGCGCCAAAAGAAGTATAACTTCAAACGTGATTGAGTTTAATCGAGATCACTTCCTTTTCACATGTGTTCACGTGAATGGAGGAAATTTATTTAGTTTAAACTTAAGTAACTTGTTGACGGACGCGAGTTGTTTTTCGAGAGATTTGTGCCCCGATACATTAAAACATAAAAGAGTAGAAGAAACTCATACTCACCAGTTTAGCGTACATGTTGAATGTGTATCCTCTCGACTTAACAGTGAGACTGATGCATTGTCCAAAGTCGCGCGCCATTTTATACGCGGCGCAGGAGCGGATTTTTTGACGTCCATAACCGCTCGTTTGACGTACGCGTGCAGATTCTACAGGGTTAGCAGGATTTTTTGTGATGCACAAACAAATTTCGACCCTATCCTTCAAATTTATGGCTTAAGTTTGCCTATCCTTCTCATTTAGAATTTGATGTATGTGAATTTTGAAATAAGAATCAATTTATTTCGAATTCCAAACGTGGGGTTCAAATGGTAGGATACAGATAGATTTTTATAATTTCATTTGTGATTATAACTATATCACTAATAGGACCAACGTCTTTGTCACAATATGTTAGTAATAAAGGATATGCTAGTGCTACAGGGACTCGCGCGAATACAGTGTAAAACTTTAATACAAGTAATACAGGAGTTTTGAAGTTCTCCTGGTCCGTGGTCTCTGTAGCCTGTCACGACATCTTTTGACCATTGATGAGATTATCACAATATGTCAGTTTCATTAGTACTTGCAACACCATAAGCTTTTTTTGTTACACTATCGTTTAATGCAAAACAATGCTTCGTTTTAAAATACTTTGACATTCATCGGGACACAGACGTTCGAGCCCAAGACGGGAAGTTTGTGATATTTATACTGCGTAATATGCATCTTGTTATTTCATCATCTTTAATGTGACAGAAAAATCACAAAGAGGTGCATAAACATAAAGTAGAAAAAAGATATGAATTTTCTGTACCTATAGGAGCAATTGAATTTGAAAAGAATAAATGGGCGCTACCATCGGCTGGGGATCCTGTGACGGATGACATTTAATTTATCCCGGAATGAGGTCTTATAGCAACATTGCTAAAAAAATTATACAGTTAGCTTTTTTTGCCAACATCTTATTAAATAAAAAGTTTAAAACGGTTCCTCTGGTTAACAGTGACAGTGAGTTCTTCGATTACAGAAAAGTGATTAGGTTTGTGTGTGGAATAAACATATTCTGGTTAAAAAAAATCCAACAAAGAATTATAATATGTTTTAGTTTCGTGAGTGATCAGAATTTAAGGTTCAAAAGTTGATTGACAGAGACAGCTTCATTCAATATACGTGTAAAAAATATGATACGCTACTGTTCTTATGTGTGTGATGTAGTAGCTGAGATGTCAAAAAGCGAAGTAAGTTTAAACCAGCTTGTAATTTAGCATATTATCTCTTATTGCAATAAGTTTGGTAGTACCGAAGATTTTTGTCAATCGTCCCAAAGTGTACAAACAGGCTTAGTAATATAGCATATTTTTGTCTCGGTAATATCTTATCATTTACACAAATATATACTCTTTAAAAGAGTATCAAATAAATCCACCTTTAGCATTGTACTTACAACATCAAGGTCATTGTCGGAAAGCTATTCAATGCGTGTATTGATATCAATACCCACGCGAATCAGTTCTTATGCGAATCAAATGCTGAAAGGCGACACCTAAGTTCGTCAGGACCTATTTGGTAGATAGAACTGTTCGTACTATACTAACCGCTGTCGACTGCTCGCCAACGTTGTTAAGGAAGTTTACCTCATTGAAAGTAATGGTTCCAGGTTACGGAAACGCAAAAGCATGAACACTTTATTGTGGCAGAAGGTGGTATCTCGGTTATTCATCAAAGTCGATACTGCTGCCTACCACGATAAAAAGGGTCTTTGCAGTGAATACAGTTCTTGTTCGTAGTTCGATTTGTTTGATTCAAAAAAATTTTTCATCTGAATAAAATAAACTGTTACGTATTTCTCAACTTTTTTATGCGAAAAGTTGTCAAGCGAGTAGGCGCGGCGGTTCATCTGGTGTTGAATGAATAATGCCGCCCGTGGACATCCAAAACACCCAAAGGATTGCTGACGCGTTGACAACCTTTACAAAAGTTGGCCCCTATTTTTTTTTCTTTTGGCTGGATCAACCACTGTTGGCCCTAGGGGCCTTTACTCGAGGTGTCCGGACACTGAGGGCGCCTCGACTGTACCTCGACGTAGCCTGTACCTTAAATGAAGGTAAATAAATTCTTAATCTAGATCTTAAGTTACGGATATACACAAGTGGTCATCGTCTTCTTCACTTTTTCTCGTTGTATTCACCGAAATCGCGTAGTGATCTGTGCCACAATATCCTCTGTACAGAGAAGGCATGCCCAGCATTGGGATATAAAATGTATCTATAGGCTGATACTCACCTATATATACATTTTATATTCCAATTTTTCTTATTAAGCTAATCAATTTATTTAATGACAGATTTTGTGGTTCTAGCTATAAAGATTATTTTAACATGTATTGCTGATACATGTGTACAAAATATCGATAGAAATGGTCTAAATATACTGTTCTGACAAGGCTATTAACTCAAATACACTTGGGCTATATTCTACACAAAACGACGAATATATTTATGTTTACACAATGTTTAAATTTTTAAAATACATGTTATTAATGACAGCAATTTCTTTTCGGAAGCATTTCATTAAAGCTTTAAAATATCCAATTTTGCTTGTGCTACATTTGTATTTATAGTCGTAGTCGGCAAAAGTCCTCAAAAACGTATTTAATTCCAAATCGGTACGACACATTTGCTTACCAGCTCAACTGTCGAGGGAAGTGATGATCAATTTTTGTGATGATGAACATTGATGAACATGAACATTGATGAATAAGTGATGAACATTTTTTTCATACCCTACACTCAAGTTTTGCATAGTCTTTACTATTTGCCGCGTATTTTAAGTTTTCATTGCAACCACAACTATAAGTGCCGGAAGTTGTCACTGTGATTGTAATGCACGTCAATTAAATACAGTTCATACAGAATATTCATGAAAGTGACAAGTTATACAATGGAATAAGAAAAGAATTGTACATTATTTTAAGTGTTATTATGCGACTGGTGGTAAATTTATGGAATTTGATTTTTTCAAAAGACTAATTGATCAATCAGTTGACAGGTAATTATTCTAAGGGCTTCATTGATTATTCAATTTATTTAAATTATGAGTTACGCCTAGTCAGTTCTAGTTTTTAATAATATTTATGTATATATACTAACATAATGTTACAGAATCTGTTATTTCCTTCCCACAACCATAATTCATGTATTAACGCAGTTTCGGTCTTTGATTTTTTTTTTATTTTTTAAAAACATTGCCCTTACTTAAGCATAACATTATCCTGTGTTGTAAGGACGTTTTACAAACATAAATTTCACACGGACAAACACCCAGATGCTAAACAACTATCTGTGGGTCCCACAAATAGTTGTTCCGTGTGGGAATCGAACCCACGACCCCCGATGCCGAAGCCAATATCTTGGCCACTGCGCCACGGAGTCCCCAAAATTGATGAAATTAAAAATTCCTTTTAGACGTTCAAACTAAAAGATAAATTTGATTATCTCGATGGCGTTTATCAGACACACAATGAATGTATTTGAACACATTACATTACGACACACCACTTAGGTATGCAGTAACTGTCATAGCTGGATCAATTTAGTGTGGTGTCGCACTATGTTGAATATAAGTATGTCAGCTATCTAAGCAACAGGTCGGACATCGAATCCACTATACGCACAGATAGTTCTAACACACATAAGTAATTTGTTCGATCCTTGCCTAAAAGCACGGTGATACCACAAAATGCGTTCATAAGGTAAAGTGTCGATAGGAAAAGTCAATGAATCTCTTTAGTTTCTCCACCAATCCACCGCCTAGTGAGTTAGGACTTTATATTCAGTTAACTATTTTACGAGCCGATCATACTAAAACATTAAACCCTTATCGTTATTAGGAAGAACACTTATATTTTTATAGCTTCAGTTTTTCAGAGTATGCATTCCTTTACTAATCATTTGCTGAATAACAGCTTCCAGTGTTGATAACATAAGTAATTGTTTTACATTATGCATGTTTTTATTCAATTATTGCGAAGTGCATTTGGGCTGTATCCATTTTTTTCCCATTGTGCAACTGCATAGTGTAGTAACTTATGCTTTTTATTACCGCAATATAGAACACGACACGACAGCCTTAACACACGACTTAAATCCGACAACTTAAAAAAATTGAGAATCTAAATCACTCTCGAATCGACTTGAAGACACAGGAAAAATTTCATTAAAATCGATCCAGCCGTTTATGAGGAGTTCAGCGACATACACACGTACAGTAGAATATATATATAAAGATATACGTAACGATTTTCTGAACATACAGCGAGTGTTATTACGGCTACCTAAAAAGAGGACATATTCTTTGCTGACATTTGATGACACATTTTTGACGTAGTGTGACCTTACATTAATGTTGTTTCTGTTATCACTCCATCTTGACTTTCTTCATAGAGTTGAGTTTAGGCACAGTTGAAAGAAACAAAAAAAAAACAAAAATCTCCAACCTTGGTACTTTAAGAATGTCACATAACCGGGTCTCAATGTTTTGTTTTGTTGTTAAGTTATAATTTTAAACGAATGTCGGGTGGACGTTTAATTGATGGTATATTTATAAATACGTTCTTGCTAACATGGAGGAAAGAAGATTAAGTCGCGATTGTTTTACAACCAAGGTACACAGGGGCTAATGGTTTAATAAGTTTTTTAAGTCTGAAAAATTGGATACTTTGTGAGTCTTATCGTCGCCAATTTCGAGGCATTGATTTTGCACGTGACAATTCCGAAAAACGAAAAATACTTTTGTGCACGGTGGTCGTTAAATGAAGTACGAACACATTTTAAATAACGCACTCTAGTTCCAAACTAGGCAAAGCTTTTGTTATGGGCTCTAGATGACTGATAAACATATAAAGTTAAAGTTTCTCTTTAAATTTATTTTGTAACTAAATGCATATTACATGTGACTGGGACACTAGAGAAACACCATGGTCGCCACACAATGTTTTTCCAGTAGTGGGGATCGAACTCAACACCCCCTAGCGCAAGAGACAGCTCACTATCCACTGCGTCGATCGGGTCGTCAAAGTTAGTTCTTAATATGTATATACG